GGGCTTTCTTTCCAGATTCATGCACATTCGAAATCGGTAAATCGTTGTTTTATCTTCTCAAATCAGATTTCGGTAAGTCAAATGATGTTTCGATTTCACGCATATTAACGGCATGCTCTTGATCAATATAATATGCACATTATCGGTGTAATATCTCCTACATTCAAAACATATAATTTTGTAGAAATTTCACCATTTTCGTCAAAATAAAAACCTACAAAAAATTGACCATAATATTTTTAAAATTGATTAACACGAAAACAATGTGTAACTCGACACCACAATGATATCAACAAAACAAATAATTTGACAATATGAACAATGTGCCACACGATACTAAAACCAGTGATAGAATGAAGAATAAGATATTTCAGATGTATAGCAAATGGACGTATTATTCAGTTTCGAGGTATGATAATAGTTGTGTGTCCAATTATTCGAAAAACAATTTGACACGGGAGATCAAACCTTGGCTTGACAACAACCATTTTTTTTGCTGAACAATGCCCATATGGCTAGTTGAGTGGATGGCCGAGCTGTGCCTAAATGGCGCAACTAGAAATAAATTATTACAAGAGAAAAGCGATTAAGAAAGTCGAGATTCAAATCGCGATCAAAAGTACAACGAATATGAATGAATGGAAATTGAACGCTACAAGTGTTAAAAAAAGATTTGAATTTAAATTATCGAACAAAACAAGCACGACTCATGATTCGTGACTAGCCGGATCAGAGATCTCATATATAAATTCCGGCTATGTTCTGACATGAATCCAACAAAACAGCCCAAAAAAATGAAAAAAAAAAAAAAAACATATATTAGAAGGCTCAACAATCAAATGGCTGTAAGCATGCCCTGTTGGAGTTCAATTATGGAACAAAAGGATGAAACATGTTAATTAAAGCAAATTTCGGACAGTTGACTGTGGTGACAAATTGAGATTAACTCAGAGTATTTTATCAGCAATATATCTATCTGCAATAACAAAAATTGTGGCCTACTTTATGCAATGTCTAGTGTAATTTGCACTAAACTTCTTTTATTTTATGTCAATATGTCAGCAAAAACAACTTTAATTTCTATCTTTGGACCACAAGCTGCTAATTCTTACAGAGACATCGAACATGAACGACCAGCAACCAGAACTGTATGCATTATAAGATGGAAAAGCAATGACCAACAATCCATTAATCGATAATGGGGGTGGGGGCAAATCCACAATCAGTAGGGATCAATATATGAATGTGTGGACAGTGAACTAAAAATAATCTATATGCATAATTTTTTGTCATTCTATTCTGTTCATTGCTTCATTTACACGACGATTGAAAAAAAAAAAAACACTAGGAGCCTGTCTGGGATAGCTATTTTCATCCAAAGAATTGATTTTATAGCCCTTTTTTTTTTCCAGCATGTGGGTCCCATCATGAGATAAAAAGTCAAAGAATTCGGCTGGCCATGGCGTGCAACGGTCTGAAAATTGCTGATAATTGCTCCCAGACAGGCCATAGATTTTTAGCGAATACAACATAAATCACAGGACTAAGGTGCTTAAAGAAGCAGTTTATAACATGACTTTTGGTCAAATCTCTAACATAATAATCCAGATATTGGATAAGTACTAGTCCTAGGTTCAATGATTAATTGTATATTTATTGCATGTTCAGAAGCCTCATACATTGAATTTCTAGGAAATCTGCATTAAGGACATGGTTAGTTGGTCGGGACAAGACTCGTGATAGAAATTTGTCAACTGTCATGTCCAATCACGATATGAAATGGAGTATAACATCAGAAAAGTATGCATTAACTCTAATTTCATCTGTATTACAATTCCTAAGATTTCTAAAGTAATGTGCCCTAATTGCAAAATTTCTTGCCTTAGGTGGATCCAAACTCTGACTATGTAAACTCTTCATGTGCTGGCAAGAGAGTGTAAGTTGACCAAGCATTTTCTTAGAGAACATATTTTGGAGAAAGATGGATAAAACAAACAGTCATAAATCTAGAATTGACTTTGGTACATAAAGACAAATTTTGCACATTGCATAAACAGCACAAGACAAGCACAGTATGAAACTAAATTCACATATTCAAGTTGGAAGTTGGAATTCCAACTGTACAATGATTTTCTAATCAACAACTGATAGGTCAAAGCCCTTGAAACTCAACTACCTTCAGTCCTGACACCTTGTTCTCCAATTGGAGTACACAGGCAGTTATTTTCAGCACATATTATGACAAACCAACTAGATACAAAATTCTTTTCACATTGCAATATCCTGCTCTAAGCCTATAGCCTGATGATTGGAAGAACTGTATAGCTTCTATACAACAAACACCCAGATTCTGGCTTTTACATTGGAAATCCAATCCCAGCAAAATCTTTAACTGTAAATCCAACTTTCTCGAACCTTCCTTTCTCATTGCTCTCACGGAACCTTAAATAATCTGAACAGACAAATGGCTTATAAGTCCTTGTATTTCCTTCACCCACAACTTCATCGGGTGCTAATATCACTTTCTCGTCCTCAAAGCACCAGAAGAAAGCTAGAGAGAATCGATTCACGGGCTTCTTCAGAACAACCCTATGCTCCGATGATCTGAGTCGTTCATTACTCCAAGCTTGCAACATGTCACCAAGATTTACCACTAATGTTCCTTCAGATGGAATGATGTTCATCCATTTTCCATCCCTCGTTCTCACTTGAAGCCCTCCTATTTCATCTTGATATACGATTGTTACACAGCTCATATCAGTATGCATCCCAAGACCCTCAGCTTCTTCGTCTAGACTTTCTGGAGCAGTATAGTTGTTTATTCTCAAATATCCATGGCAATTTTTAAACTCGGAATCATAATATTTTGTTTCAATTCCATCTCCTATAGCTGTTAATACGAGCTTAAGGACTCCCTTAGATAACTCAGTCATTTTACTCCCATATTCTTGCAATACCTCACTGTGAAGACAAAAATGAAAAATTAAATTATTGAAACTGTATATCTCTTAATGTGAAAAAAGGCGTGCACAAGTATTAAAAAAGATATCATTTTCATAAAAAGCCTCACCTGAATTCTGAATCATTTTCACCTAGGAGAACATCTAAAGAACTCTGAGCAGAGTCTGTGAAGTCTGGTCCTGAAACTCTAAGGCTCTCAAAGAAGGGCGAGGCTATGAAATGAGGAGTATAAGTCTTATCAGGTGATAAAGGACCTAGTTTAAGTTTTGTCTCAATAGGGAGGTTGAAAAGGTTTTTTGAGAGAGTACAAATTTTGTTGTAGATATCTTTGGAGATTCCATGATTAATAATTAGGAAGAAACCCCATTCTTTGCAGGCTGCAGCCAGAGAAGACAAAGAAGATGTGCACAATTGCTGAGAAACGTCTAATACAGGGAGTTCTAAGGGTTCAGATTCAGGAATCATTTTTGGACAACAAAAAGTAGTGGCTTTTCCACTGGGGCTTGGCTTTTAGCTAGACAGTTGATCAAAGATTGCACGGCAAAGAAATGTAAGGTAACAAGCATACAGGCATCGCATATAGCCCCCGAAGAAGTTAAGCCATCGTTCTGTGTTATGGCTACCTTATATCTCTAACCTCTCACTTGACTTTATAATGAACAATTACAAGCAGAATTATACTTGCAGCACAAGTAGAACTATTATATTTTTCCTTTGTTAATATATATACATTATAAGAGAGAAGTGACAGCTAAGGCAGCCTTTATGAGCAGCCACTATAGAGAGATCATCATAATAAAGATATGGGCCACTTGTGGGTTTGTAATAAGTCAAAAACAGAAAATTTGATAAATAAAATCCGTTATCTTTGCTGTTTTCAAGCCATTTTCAGTTTTCTATTTTTGAAAACACTGAAAACACGTTTACTTACCTATTTTCAGAAACGAATTTCCAAAATCAAGTTTAAAATTTACAAAGAAAACGAAAAACGCAAAAAGAGTCGTTTTGGCTGTTTGAGTTAAAATCAAGCCAAAACTTAATTTTTTTATTTTTGAAAATAATTTTTCAAAATGAAAAAAAGAACGTCTTTTCAACAATTTCAAAATGGATACTCAGAACATAAAACCCAAAATGAATTCAAAATTCAAAACTAAAAACTGAAACCCCTTAGATCCCACTTTTTTGATGTGTTATAACAAGAATTTTATAGATCACCTAGAAGCTAGAAAAAGCATGGGATGATTCATTGTTATGCAGAATATTACCACATACATTGTTCTTAAATTTTACAGATTGGACTCTTTCAGCGAATGAAGTTCGAAGAGTTATGTAGCTTAAATCAAACATAATCGGAACGCTGCACTATGTGTAAGACCTTTTTAACAGTTATGCACTATGTTCCTTCTATAAGCTTATATACGGTAGAGTTGCTTGCTTGCTTTAGAAGAAAAGGCATACCAATTGCCAACCAACAAAAAACACAGAAGAAGCAATAAGCCATCTTATTCAATTGATATACTTATTCATTTCAGCAGTTTACTGCAATTTCTTCAAAGGATGATGATTCTGTATTGTTTTAGTTAAAACACACACAGTGTTCCTGTGTGTTCTTTCTTTAATTACTACATATAATATTAGGTCATGTTTGATTGCAACGAATTCCATAGAAAATGTCACATTCGAGGAAAACGAATTCCACTTTAGCCGTTTGATTGCAACGAGGAAATGGAAACCAAATTCCAAGGTACCACCACTTTAAACTGTATTTTCTTTGTTTTCATGGAAAACGAATTCTTATGGATTTGATGAGTTTTTATTTTCCAACTAACATGAAATTGGAATTATTTTCCACCTATGTCTATCAAACGGACCCTTATTGTATTCTGCGTTTTTGTCTAACACTTCCAACCGTCAGTACTGTCACAAATTTGAGATGTTTATACTTGCCTAGCCTCTTTGAACAATGCTATGTGTACAAATAGGTTTTCCCTTCCTCTTTTTATTTGTTTTGTATGAAGTTGTGTTTATGGAGGAAGGGGGAGAGTGGAACAGGGAAGGATTTCTGCATTACGTCAGCTTCAATATTGGTTTTTGCTCCATTTTCCATCCTTCCAGTTTATTGTATTTTATCATCTGACCGTATATGGCCCATGAGTCATCATCTCGTCTAACCCCACCTCCTGGTTGACGATTAAATTTGAATAAATACATTTGTATCATCTAAGCATTAAAATTTTAGATACAACTTGAATAAAGTATGAATCTGGCGTGCACACGAGGGACCGTGTGGAAGACTAAATTAAATAAATGTGTTCGTTCTCTAACGGCCCCACGGAGAAAAGGGGTTAAAAGATGAGTAGGGCAGAATTTACCTTTTTCGTTTCTTTCCGTCAATCTTGAAACTTCTGTCCTTTTGATTTATTTTATTCAACTCATCCATATGTCAAATGATACCATCATTGAAATAGAAAATATTAAATTCCAGTGTGCATCCACGCAAAAAGCATGGTCAAAGCTGCATGTTTAGTGCCCTAAGCAATCATTCTCTCAAGGAAGTTGAGCTTCAATCATGTCAACGGAACACCAAACTGGTTCCAGAAAATGTACATATAAAGAAACCTGATGCATTTTAGTTTTTAATACCAAATTTTCAAGCACGTATGAACCAAAGGGAACGCAGACTATTTCTTAATTAATTCTGCTGCTGAATAAGGCCTCCAGGGAACAATGACTAGTTCCAAGTTTGACATTTGCCGTGATCATCCAGAAGTTTGGACAAACGAACTAATTATTTCTTATTGACTACAGCTTTTCCACACAATTTACTATTATTCACAAAATGAGGCATATTCCTTTTTAATTCCACAATTTAAGGGGCTGTTTTTTTCGCGTTTCGATTTTGAGTTTTGAATTCATTTTGTGTTTTGAGCGTCCATTTTGAGATTGCCGAAAACGCGTTCTTTTTATCATTTTGAAAAATTGTTTTCATAAAAAAAAAAAATGAAGTTTTTGCTTGATTTTAACCGAAAGCCGCCAAAACGACTTTTTTGGCGTTTTCCGTTTTCTTTGTAAATTTTAAACTCATTTTTGGAAATTCGTTTCTAAAAATAGGTAAGTAAACGTGTTTTCTGTGTCTTCGAAAACTGAAAACTGAAAATGACCTGATCCTAATTTTCGAGGAATAGAAATTTTTAAAAGCCAAAAATGATGTAAAAAGAATTATGTACCAAGAAAACACAGAATGTATAGTGTATACATTTGTTTATTAATCACCAAAACACAGAATCGTCTCTACTTTTGAAGCTAAAATTGCCTGCATTCAAACGATAGAATCTTTGTAATCCTGACAACTAAATCCTAGTCGAAATGCTATTGCTAAGTTTCTGAATCTTCACAGACAAATGCAAGTCCACAGTTTATAAATCGATCCAAGCCAATTTATGCAAATGATATCAAGCATTCAGTCCTAGGAGAGTAATGGTCCAGCCCTCATTCATTTTAAAACAAGCAATGCAATATGAAGCTACCACGCTGTGATGCCTAATATCATGTTTGACAATTTACACTCCGCGCGTAAACAATATTTTGTCACTTAATTACACAGTAATTAAGCGCAACACGAATATATCAATAAAAGGAAGAATTCTTACAAACCCTTAGGGGGTGTATTCAATTTAGACTTTTAATGATTTTTTTGAGTTTAAAAAATTTAAGGATATTCAATTTAGACTTTTGAAAATACTCTAAAAGTATTGGTGTATTCAATTGAGATTTTTATCTCTAAAAATTACGGTGTATTCAATTAAAACTTTTTAGAGGTCTCTATAAGTTTTGGAATATTCAAATTTTAATGACTTTTAGAGACTTTTATAAAAATCTTCGTGGTACAAACTTTTAAACAGAAAGTACTCAAAGTTGCCTCTCATTAATCACGAGATTTTGATAGACTTTCACAAAAAAAAAAAAAAAGGAAGAAGAAGAAGAAGAAGAAATTAATATATTTTTTTTTCAATATTTCTCTTTCTTTTTCCCTTCTACGAACGTTATGGAATCCCGAATACTTTTGCCCTATCATTATGGAATAAGTTTGGCCCATCTGATCCATGCATATAGATTAATCCACATACACCAGAATTCTCAATTCTTTGAAATAATGGACAGGATGTATTAAAATATAGACACGCAAACCATTCAATATTCAGTAATACACGCAACACGCTTTTAGAGAAAATAATAAATCAACATAAAAATAATCGAAAGTATGAAAGCAGGAACGAAAATAAAAATTGAATTACGCAGAACATGGAAATGCTTCCACTGGTAACATCGATTGATTTTTGTAAACACAATTAAGACGTTACCCGGACATGCTGCAGGTTTTCCTGGACATGGATGAATTTCACCCTCAGGCCAACAACGGTGAAATCGTAATGAGGTAAATCCTGTGTTCTCCCTGACGCGAATGGCGTTCCGATTGCTCCGATCAGTATTTACTACCTGTAAAATGAGGTCGGAGCTTTCTCACTCGTTGTACCCCGTTATATCACTAGCCCATCTGCCTCTTGTCGATATTTATCGATGAGAGGTAGCCTTTTCTGACGCAGAACGAAAGTTCTAGGTTTACAAACGTAAACCCTAATTTAAGCAAAAGATCAAAATAGACATCCACTAAATTAAAGCAACTAAAAATAGAAAAATAAAAAATAACGCTGAAACTTCGACTGCTTGGTCACACGCCTTAAACTGCGAATTTGAGACTGGAAATGACGTCAACCGGGATAACCCGGGTTGAGACGATATGGAGCTCTAAGAGACGTTTTCGAAAATATATTATAATAGAAAATTTGACATCGATGCAAAAAGTTATGCCCCTTTTTTCGGAATAGCTCTTTTAGCCAATTTTTGGCACAATTCTTCTTCAAACTCTAACACCAATTGTCCTACATCATTTCCAAGATGGCCAATTAATTTAAACGGGTCAACCTTGCACATGTGGCATTCCACAATTGGTTTTCACTATCGGGGGGAAATTTCCCCCAAAAAATTCAAAATTTTCACCACTATTTAAAGAGTTGTGGTGACTCCCATCTACTTCATTTTCTACTTTGTCAAACTCTTCAACTCCTTCCTCCCGTTTCAAGGTAATCTTCTCTCCTCCTCTTCATTCATCTCGTATTTTTAATCATGTATAAAACCATTATCTCTTCATCTTCCGGTGAGAGTGAAGACGAGAGGGCAAAAGATTCGACCAACCCACCTTTGGATGGGTCGATCAGCACAGGGACGGAGTCGAAAGATACATTAGGCTGGGCTGAAATTTAATTTTTTTCAATGAACTTATACCATAAAAGATGCTCTAAACCATACGGTAAAACAAAAATGGGACCCAAAATTGGGCAAAATCATGTCCGGTTAACTGATTATGACAAATCGCTCAAAACCCACTGAACCGGCTAGTTCAACCG